TAGGTGGTGGATGCATTCGCAATGGATGCTGGTGGGTGAGCACGTGCACGTGTGGAGGGAGGGTGAGCAAATGGACGTGAGGGGCGTGGGTGCATGGTCGCACAGGTGGAGGTGAGTAGTAGATAATGGGTTCATGGTCAGATGGGCAGAGTCTCTGGTTCCAGTGCTGCTGAAAGAAACCCCACACGGCAAACGTCTCGCTGGTCATTGGGCTCAGCGCCATTGGGCAGGTTGGTCCCGCGTCAGAGCAGCCCCAGGCATGGCAGGCGAACACCCCCACCACCGGCACTGCCTCTGTGTCTGTCCATCTCTCTGAAGGCCTTCCTCGTTTTCGCTGCCAGCCTACTTTACCCAGCACGATGTCCTTCTCCAGAGACTGGTCTCTCCTGACAACATGCCCAAAGTGCGTGAGAGCAAGTCTCACTGGCTCCTTGCCCCTAAGGGGCACTCTGACTGCATGTCTTTCAAGACAGGTCTGTCTGTGCACCGGACAGTCCACTCTGCTTCTTGTGCTCTTCACATGCAGCGCGTTGCAAACTCAGCAAGTTCCTTTCAGTCTCCTTGTTCAGTTTCCAGGTTTCACACATCTCTGAGGTAACTGAAAAGACTATGGCGCGGGTCAGACACACCTTAGTCCTCAAAGTAACATCCTTGCTTTTCAATACTTCAAAGAGGTGGCACAGCGATTATGCATTGAGCTGCTCACCACAAGGTCAGCAGTTCAAAACCACCCGTCACTCCTCCAGAGAAAACTGAGGCTTTCAGTGGAGAAGTAGAGTCTGAGTAACCCACAGCAACAGGTCTACCCTGTCCCACGGGGTCACAAAACGTTGGAATAGGCTGGATGGCAGGAGTTTGCTGAGTGATTTAGAACAACAAAATCCCTTCATGGGACATGGAGACTAGTGGTTCCGATTCAGGGTGCTGCCCAGTCTCTCTCCGGAGACTCTAGGGAAAGACGCTCGCTCCCTTGTCGAGGTCAGCTTCTGGTGACCCTGGGCGTTATGTGGCTTGGATGCATTGTTCCAATCTCTGCCACTGGCATACGTTCCTCTGTGTGTCCCCTTTGCCTCCTCATCTGATAAGGACACCAGTCTATGGGTCCAGGGACCCTCCTACTCCATTAATCTCACAATAACCTAATTTTATCTGTAAAGACCCCATTTCTAAACAAAGTCACATTCATGAGAACCAGGGCTTAGAACTTCAACCTGCTGTGGAAAGGCAGAATTGAACCTGCAACAGGATTGATGGGTAAACTAGTGTGCAGGTAGATTTCACATAAGAGGACGAGTGAATGACCAGAGATGAGTGGGTAGATAGATAGTCAAGTGATTGGATAAAAAGGGAGACTAGTTGGAAGGATGGAAGATGCAGAAATAAATGGATGAGTGGATGGATGGATAGATGGATGGGTGGGTGGATAGATGGATAGATGAATAGATGGATGATGGATAGATGGGTGGATGGATGATGGATGGATGAATGGGTAGGTGGTTGTTTGGATGGGTGGATGGATGGTAAATGGCTGGATGGATGGGTGGATGGGTGGGTGGATGAATGGATGGATGGACGAGTAGGTGGTTGGATGGATGGATGG